GAATGGCACATAATAAGTGTTCACTGAATATTAGTCATGACTAGATATCCCTTTCTCATTTGTTTTATTTTGCTTTTAGAAAATTCAGAGACTACTCTCCCTAATTACTTAGTTAACTCAAACACCATGTAAAAATCTATATTTTGGTGGGATTTGCACCGCAAAATGCATAGGTATGCTGCCCAGGAGTTTGTGTTCCTGATGTTGAGGTCTCCTCAACTATTGTGTAATGAGAAGTGAGATAAATCCAGAGTTAACAGATCTAGATTAGAGTCCTGATGCTGCCACTAACAAATCAACCCAACCTATCTGGGGCTGATTCTGCACCAGTGAATGGAACCCTTCCGGGTCTGGAACTCAATGTTTATGGCTATTGCTAATGACACATGAGCCTATAGATAGGCCATAGAACTGAAATGGGGAAAGATGTTCAGTAGGGTTAGTATACAGGCAGTTGTAAAGTTTGAGGAGAAAATGGAAGAAAGATGAAGAAGAGAAGAATCAAGTGATCATAGCAGAAAGAGATGAGAAGGTGAATGAGGAAAAGAGAAGGAGAAAGGAGAGTGCAGAATAAGAAGAAAGAAGTAAAGAGAGGGTAGAAAGGGAATCCCTGCTCTGCCTGGGTATGCAAATGATTAGCAGTAGCATATCCTGTAACCTGACTGAATGCTCAGGACTGGTTGACAGTGGCTGATTGGTCAATGTGAGGAAATCTTGTGAAGTCTGCATGGCTGTTCCCTTCCTTTCCAGAAATTAGCATTTGGAGATATACATTTCTCTAAAGGGACCAGACTGAAAGCAGGACTGTTCAAAATGTTCTTAGAAAAGGGAATGGAAAACAGAGGGGAGAAAATTACCACAGAAATAATGCAAGAAAACCTCCCTGAAGTGAAGAACATAAGGATTCAGGCAAAGGAGGTCTTCAAGTGCACAGTAGCACAAAATAAAAAAGAAGGAAAGAGACAACAAAGCTTACAACCTAGAACTTTCATGACTCTTGAACAAATAAAACATATTTAAGTTTCTAAAAAGAAAAACAGGCCACACTATATAGGCTAGAAATGAGAATGGCAACTGTCTTCTCAAGGATAACACTGAAAACTAGAAGACAAAAGAACAATGCCTTCTTTTGTACATGAAACTAACTTCTGGCCTAGATTTCTATACCCAACCAAATGTTTTCTTAAGCAATTTTGTGAGGTAGGTAGTCTCAAATGTTTGCTTTCTAAAAGCAATTTCTTAGGAACTACATAATGTGTTCTATCTGATTAAGACAAAAAAGAAAGAAAAAAAAGGATTCAGGAAACACAGGCTCTACCACAAGACAGAAGTGAAGGAAATTACCAGCCTGTTTGTAAGGCTTAATCCTTAAGAGTCTTAGAAACAGTGAAGATTGGAAGAGGGAGACAGGAATGTTGCCAGAAGAATAAATTGAATCTGATATATCACTTGATGCATTTGATCATGTTGAGTGGCTATTTGTAGTTCAGGTAGAGATTTGGAAAATGAATTAATAAAAAGTAAATGGAAAAAATAAACCCAAAACATAAAAATAACATGAGACCAGGGAAGTTGCCTAAGAAATTAATGTAATCATAGTAGATTACATGGTTCAGCTCTGAACATTTTATTGCCATAATAATTTAAGCACTAAATATTTCTTTAATCACATATTGTGATAAAACTATTTTGAGAAGTTGAATAAAGGAAAAGTATGTGTGGTGAGGATGGTGTAAGAGAAGTAAATTCTCATTTTCTAATTTAGAAATTCAATATACAGTATCTAAATTGTGGGAAAACATCCAGAAATAGATACAAGTATATTATAAAAATGGACATAAAAGACCAAACGAAGAGTTGAGCGTAGCAGTCCATGGGGAACAGGAATCTAGCAGGAAATTGCTGCTTTTTTATTGTTATCATTTTAAGCCTTAGAGTAATATTTAAGTTTTAAAGTATATATGTTGATTACTATAATGAATATAAAAATTAAATTGAAAGTGTATTTGGAATGTAGGGAAGAACACTAATGGCTTGCATAAAAACTCAGATAATCCCTAACCTACAATCACTATATCTTCACTTTACCTGTGAAGAAACTGAGGCTCAGAGACATTTTGCAAGCTGACTTAATTACAAAGTGTTAGAGCCTGGAATCACTCCCAGTATTTCTGATTTCACACTTCAAACTTTCTCAAAATATTTTCCTGGTTCTCATTATCTCTTATTTTAAACTTATCATGTTACTTTAAATAGTATCTCCCACACAACAGCAACTAAAAAAAATCCAGGTGTACAAAATGACATCCTTCATGAGTCATGTCTGAGCTAACTGAATAATCTAATGTAATCTTAGGTCTCAATTTTACCCTTGGTTTGGTGACATCCTGAGGAATGCAGATGAACATTCAAGTGATCAATAGGTACAGTTTTGGGACCTAAATATTTTCCTAATGGATACATGCTTCTCATTATACCATCCCAAGACACAAGGAACTGACCTCATTGCTTAATGTCCTCAATCTGATTCCATGCACCTGGGAAATGACATTGCTATTTGCTGTCAGGACACAATAGCATTAAACCTTAACGATATACCTAACATGGGGATTAGACAATATTAATGGAGTGTTAGCTATACCACTGGAGCACTCTTCTAGAGTTACTTTTTCAAAAATCTATAAGCTTTGATGAACTCTCAGTTCTCTTCTATTAGTTTGATATATCCATTGATTAATATTGCCTTACTTTCATAAGCTAGTCTTTTTCTTGGTAACCAAATTTTTTTTGTATCCTTTGGTAATAGTTCCTGGAAGTGTGATTATTGTGTCTGCAATTTGCAGAATTTGATGGCAGCTCCAGTAAAATAAACAAAATCTAATTATGTCAAAATTGGACCTTGCTGAGGTAAGATGATTGGTTTCATTTTATATAAACATGAGCACTTACGATAATGGCAAATGTCAAGATGTTTCTCAGAAAACATTATTTAAAAAATGGTAGTGAAAATTGAGATTGAATTGCTACATATCCTATCAATATGATCTTTCTAGTCTTAAGTTCTTGGGTTTTAGATTTATGAATTCTTGTAATTTTATGTAAATAATATATGTATATGCATTTTAATAAAAGGATGGTTCATAACTTTCATCAAATTTTTTAAAGAGGTTCATAACCCTTAAAACATAAAAAATCATTACATAAAGATATGAAGTCCATGTGGAATTCTTTAATTAGATTCTTCTTAGTGGATCTTAAATGTTTTTATAATAGGTATTAGTAAATTTCTGAGAGATCAAGGGCATTAAATATGCCCTCTATCATTACTAGTCAATTGTTTTTCTATTTCTGTAGCCATGAATCTCAAAGCTCATATAAGACAAATTTGATTGCCCCTTCTACCACACCCTAGCTTTCCACTCCCCCCAGCTTTTGAGGATTCATATGAAATTATCAAAAGATGATATTTTCTATTGTGGCTTACTATTAAATTTGCTACTCAATTCTCTATGTACTGAACATATTTAATAGAAAAGTGAAAATCTCAAGCATCATATTATTCAGTGATGTCAATGGTATTGCCTTGTTCATCTTTCCCCTTGTTCTTTTGTTGATGAGAAAGGTTTGTGCCATCTCTGCTAAAGCCCTTAAAAGATACTTTCCATTAAGCAGTTATAAAAACATAAATAGTAGGTGTGTGACCTAGTTTTTGAGATATATATATATATAATCAGAAATACATATATATTGCCAAGAGATTTTTATTCTTATTAAATTTAATCTCTAGCAACCAGGAAATTTAATTGATTACTCTTGTTAATGAACACTTCAAAAATATTTTAAAGATCAACTATGGGATAGTCTATATTACTAAGAAACAGAAAATACTATCAGAACCTTAATAATCTACTGAGAACAATCTATGGAGTTTAAAGAGAGATGATATGCAGAGTCAAGCCAGGTTTTCATGTCAGTGATATCAGCAGATGAGTCACCATGTTGTGGAATTATTTTCTTACCTTTCCACATCTCGAAACTAATTTTTAACCTAGGCTTATTATTTTCTTAGATATCAAGTGATGGTAACCAAAATAATGAAATACTGAAGTATCAATCAGATGTAAGTGTATTTGTCAGATGCAAAATATATCTACCAATGTTTGTTATACTGTGTCTCCTACTTTTAATACCCACTTCCTAGAATCAGGAAGCAAAATTAATTAACAGCTGAGAGCTGAGGATAGAAATGAGCTGTATAAATGTAACTACTCTTCAACTAAGGGCAAGGAGATTGGCACTGCTGCCCGGTAGAAGCAAGGTGCTGGGTCTGATAAAACAAGGTGGAGAGCCAGATTCAGCCTTGTGTTTGCTACCTGTGTCATAGGGTATTATAAGTTTGAAAAAAAGATAATGAATTAAAGTACTCAGCACTGGCTTGGTACATAGTTAATAATTTATATCCATAGACCTCTTTAATTTATTTTTCTTTACTCTTGCCATGTTCTTTTCCTTCTTCCCTTCATTTTTAATAAATGACATCCATTTTTTTCCTTAAAAATGAGAGATAAGCATAACTGAGAAATACTTAGCATTGTTTTTGTGTCTGGTTTGAAGTTTACATAAATGACATTATGCTCTAGATCTCATTCTGTTTCATACATTTTTTATGTTACTCTGGGAATTTAATCTGCATTCTGTCATGTATATAAGCCATATTTTATTTATTCACTAAGTGATGGGTCGAGGTGGCTTTCATCCCTTTGCTGTTCCCAACACCTGTGTGATAAACAAGTTCACAGTTCCTCGTAAACATGTATATGCTTTCCTCTGGAGTATATTTCCAGGGACAAAATTGCTGGGTCATAAATGCATATACTTACATGTGGTGGACTTGGAAGGACAGCCCATATTTTTACATACTTTTCTAGTAGAATAAGGCAGGGAATAGGATTGAGATGAGAAATGAAGAGAATTAAGGAACTTCATCAAATATATGTTACCTTGGACTGATGAGTCCTGTGTACCTGAAGTCCTTGAAACTGAAATAAAAAGGAAGATGGATATGGCTTAATATGTTACCAGAATAAATGTAGTGCCTGCTACCATCCTTAGCATCCCCATCTGTGTTCCAGGGTCAGGGTGTTAGTCGACCATGACTGTGTAAAAGTGCTGTAGAAATCATGAGATGGTGCCTGTGAGGCTTTGAAAACTCTTGAGATTTAGGCTGTACATGAACAATGTAAAATGTTACTTTACACAGACAGCTCTTAAAATTTTATTTATGGATTTCTTTGCCTAATCAACACTGGAGATGGCCAAGACTTAAATGATCATTTCAAGCTTGACTATTGTTGATTCTCAATGTGCCTGTGAAGATTTCTTAGAACAGGACTACTTGAACACTTTTGACTATTTCATCCAATCAAAGAATGAGGCTCTCACACTCAGGTCACATACCATTTAGTCATATATAGTAGTTAGAGGTATAGAGTCAGGTGATTTGAAGTAAGCACTGCTAAAAGAAATATGAAGTGTGGTTTCAAGAGTTCGTTGAAATTTACACACATAAATGGATATGACTTAAAAAAGGAATAAAAGGTTATTCAAGGTTTTACTTATGCAAAAAGATTAAAATAATTAAACTTTTCACTTTTAATACCACTTTTTGGTTTATCAAAGGCCCAATGCTAAATGACAGGTATGACAACTTTTCAGAGCACAGTAAGGTGAATAATTCTTCAGGAACTGAGGAGAGGTAGACTTGGGAAAATGATTGTAATGATTTTCTTTAGGACTAATAATCAAGGAAATAATGTGAAAGAGAAGAATCTTCTTTAATGTATGTCCACAAGCAGCTCCTTTAATTCAGAGCAGGATTAATTAATTTTTAATAGTTTAATAGATGAGTATAATAGATAAGTTAATTAAATTAGTTAATTTTGTTCAAACCATTACAATAATAATCCATTGTTATTCTTGGTAATGCATATCATTATAATTATTTTATTATTTAGAAGCCAGAACTAAATAACTAAAGAGCATATTTAAAAGTAAACACCACCACTAATTTTAAAAAATATTTCCATTTTATTAAATTGAGATTTAGTTAAAATTTTTTCTCCTTTTTTCTTTGTGTCATTTTGGTGTCTAAGATATTTTCATTGCCCAAATATGATCTATATATGTTTTGCTTATAATATTAAACGCATAAGTTTTATTTTATTTATTTTGAAAGTTAAACATTTTTCATTGTTTATGCTATTACAGTTGTCCCAATTTTTCCCACGTTGCTCCCATCCCCCCTGCTCACCCCCATTACCACAGTCAATCCCTACACCAGTGTTCATGTCCATGGGTCATGCATATGTGTTCTTTGTCTAAACCCTTCACCTTCTTTCAATCAATCCTCCCTTACTCCTCCCTTCCTACAGCTATCACTTTGTTTCATGTTTCTATGTCTTTGTTTCTATTTTGCTTGTTAGTTTATTTTATTCATTAAATACCAGTTATAAGTGAGATGATATGGTATATTTGTCTTTCATTGACTGGCTTATTTCACTTAGCATAATAGTCTCCAGGTCCATCCATGCTGTAGCAAAAAGTAAGATTTCCTTCCTTTTTATTGCTGCACGGTATTCCACTGCATAGATGTACCACAACTTTTTTCCACTCACCTACTGATAGGCACTTAGGCTGTTCCCAAATCTTGGCTATTGTAAATAGTGCTATTATGAACATAGGGGTGCATATATCCTGTTGAATTAGTGTTTGGTATTCTTTGGATATATTCCCAGAAGTGGAATCGCTGCACTGGGTCAAAAAGCAGTTCCATTTTTTCAAAAGACACCCCTCCTCCCTTCCTTCCTCCCTTCCTTCCTCCCTTCCTTCCTCCCTTTCTTCCTCCCTTCCTTCCTCCCTTCCTTCCTTCCTTCCTTCCTTCCTTCCTTCCTTCCTTCCTTCCCTCCTTCCTTCCTTCTTCCTTTCTTCCATTCTTCCTTTCTTTGTGTATTTATTTGTTTTTAGAGAGAAGGGAAATGAAGGAGAAAGAGAGAGAGAGAAACAGATTAGTTGGATCTCATAAGCTCCCACTGGGAACCTGGCCCACTGCAACTCAGGCATGTGCCCTGACTGGAAACTGAACCAGCAAATTTTCAGTCCACAGGCTGGTGCCCAATCCTCTGAGCCACACCAGTCAGGGCAAGGCAGTTCCATTTTAATTTTTTGAGAAAACTCCATACTGTTTTCCAGAGTGGTTGTACTAGTCTGCATTCCCACCAATAGTGAAATGAAGGGATCACAATATCTGATATCAAACTATACTACAAGGCCACTGTAATCAAAACAGTCTGGTACAGACATAAGAACAGACACATAGATCAATGGAACAGAATAGAGAGCCCATAAAAACCTTGCTTTTATGGTCAATTAATATTTGACAAAGAAGGCAAGAGTATACAATGGAGAAAAGACAGTCTCCTCAATAAATGGTGTTAAGAGAACTAGACTATACTTGCAAAAATATGAACTTAGGTCACCAACTTACACCATACACTAGAATAAAGTCAAAATGGACACAAGACTGAAATATAAGTCACGATACCATAAAAATCCTGGAAGAAAACATAGGCAGTAAAATTTCAGATATCTTGTGTAGTAACATTTTTGCCAATATATCTCCTAGAGCAAGTGATATAAAGGAAAGAATAAACAAATGGGACTACATCAAACTAAAAACTTCCGCAAGGCTAGAGAAAACATCAACAAAATAGAAAAGGGAACCAACCATATGGGAAAACATATTTGCCATAGATACCTCAGACAAGGGTTTAATCTCCAAAATGTATAAAAAAATTCATATGACTCAACATCAGGAAGATAAACAATCTAGTTAAAAAATGGGCAAAGGACCTGTATAGACTTCTCCAAGGAGGCCAGTAGACATATGAAAGGATGCTCAGCATCACTAGCCATCAGAAAGATGCAAATTAAAACCACAATGGGGTATTACCTCACACCTGTCAGAATGGGTATCAATAAATCAACAAACAACAAGTGCTGGTGAGGATATGGAGAAAAAGGAACAAATTTTATTTTAATAATGCATACAGAAATTATCCTGTGTAGTCTAGATAAAGTTTAAATGTAGTTTATAAATGATTAATTTTATGTATTATGATATTTATACTTTATTAAGTATAAATATCATTCTCATGCAGTTATCCTTATTCAAGAAAAACAGTTTTTCCTTTGTAAAGACTTTATGAGAAATAACTCTAAATATATCAGAGATGAAGCTGGGGATGTGGGACAATAGTTTGTGGTTATGTACAATCTTTCAATTTAGCTGTTTGGAGTTAACAATGAAAACCCTGTCCTCGACATATAGAAAATCCAAAGACACATGAAATGATGTTCAATATCGCTAGCTATCAGAGAGATGCAAATTAAAACCACAATGAGATACCACTTCACACCAGTCAGAATGGCCATCATAAACAAAGCAACAAACAACAAGTGTTGGAGAGGTTGTGGAGAAAAGGGGTCCCTAGTGCACTGTTGGTGGGATTGCAGACTGGTACAACCACTATGGAAAACAGTATGGAACTTCCTCAGAAAACTAAAAATGGATCTGCCTTTTGGCCCTGCAATTCCACTGCTGGGACTCTATCCTAAGAATACTAAAACACCAATCCAAAACAACCTATGCATCCCAATGTTCATAGCAGCACAATTTACAATAGCTAGATGCTGGAAGCAACCAAGATGCCCATCAGTAAATGAATGGATGAAAAACCTATGGTACATTTACACAATGGAATTCTATGCAGCAGAAAGAAAGAAGGAGCTCCTACCCTTTGCAACAGTGTGGATGGAGCTGGAAAACATTATGCTTAGCGAAACAAGCCAGGCAGTGAAAGACAAATACCATATGATCTCACCTTTAACAGGAACCTAAACAACAAAACAAAGAAACAAGCAAAATATAACCAAAGACACTGAAATAGAGGACAGGCTGATGGTGACCGGAGGGGAGAGAAGAGGGAATTTAAGGGGACATTGGGAAGGGTTCACGGGAACAAACTTAAAGGACACATGGACAAAAACTAGGGAGAGGGTGGTAATGGGAGGGAAGTGGGGAGGGTTGGGAGGGGGGCTGGATTGGGAGTAAAAGGGAAAAAACTGAACTTAAACAATGATTAAATTAAAATAAAAAAAAAAACCCTGTACTCAGAGCTTTGCTTCTTTTTTTAATTTTTTTAAATGTTTCTTTTTTTAAAACTTAATTTCTTTCTTTTAAGATTTTATTTATTTATTTTTAGAGAGGGAAGGGAGGGAGAAAGAGAGAGAGAGAAACATCAATGTGCGGTTGCTGGGGGCTGTGGCCTGCAACCCAGGCATGTGCGCTGGCTGGGAATCGAACCTGGGATGCTTTGGTTCGCAGCCCGCGCTCAATCAATCCACTGAGCTACACCAGCCAGGGCTTGCTTTACTTCTTTTAATTCTATTTCTTGTAATTCTATCTCATTGATTTAGGGAGCTGGAAGACTTACCGCCTAAAATAGGGCACTTCCTAAATTAGAATCCTTTTACGTGGGTGTTTGACATATTACATAGCTACAACCTTTTTTGCAGGAGGTAACTAGCTGCTGGTATAAAAACACCAGTTAAAACTCATATTCACCTCTGTTTTACATTTAGCATGTGCTTACATATCCTTTATTTTATATCTATAGCATAACCTAGGTTTTCCAAATCTAACCTAAAATGCATCTCTTTTATGGGTCAAGCAAAGCAACTCATGGCATCTTCTCAGCTTGAAGCTATGCTGGACATTTACTGCATTGTCTTAATTCACCTGTGTCCTGCCCTGTGTGCCTCAACCATAATGGAAGAGATTGAACTGTTCAGAACAGAGATACCTTAATTCTACAGTTAAAATATTGGAATTTGACACAAAAAAATATACTTTTTTTGTCTCCAACAGTTCTAGTGAACAAAGGGATATATATATTAAATATTTTACATATGTAAGTATATATATAGTTATCTCTCTCTCTCTCTTAAATATATATTTAAGATATATATATATATATTTAAGATATATATATATATATATCTTAAAATTTGCTCTGTCGATTCCATAGCATTTTCTCTATAAGCAAAGCATTGACCATCACCCACTATCTGGTCATTGCTCCACTTTGCATTAAATGAAGTAGATTGCCACCATCCTTGGAGGATGGTGTCAAATGTCAGTGAAATCAGGAACTAATTTAATGACATGCACATTGTTCCATTCATTAAGGCAAGCGTTTTTTTTTAATAGGAAACATTTCACATATTCCTGACTGTACTAAATTAACTCAAATTTTAAGGATTACCTTGCTGTTTCTCTCTAGTTCTCAGCTGTCATCCTGGGGTACAAAACCCCCAGAGTCTTCTTGCTCAAGAGAGTACTTGTGAGCATTCATAAAAGCCAAAATGAACTATCGTTAGGCCACAGGGATTTGGAAGCCAAAGCATATTCAGTGGCATTGGTGGCATTGCCTCAGTGGAATTGATATCCTTAATTACAGACAGCAGATGGAGCTATGAGTGAATGAATGACCCTTCAGGGTCCCTTCCTCAAGTAGATTCAGTGCGATCACAGTCTAGAGGCAATCACTGTCCATCAGCTCCAGGTCAGCCTGCAGTGCTTGCCAGGGGCCTGTACTTCAGAAAGTCATTGGCTAAACACCTAATTTCCCTACTTCCAGGCACAGTTAAACAAGAGAGGGACTCTTTGCCTTCTAGAGCTTTAAGTGGTTACATGCTGTTTGAAGCTATCATTTCCTGGATTTAGTACAGCTGGAAAGAAAAGTTACTCTGGAATATAAAATACCTGTGACTCAGCAGCTAATGAGGATGAGAAACAGACCAAATCACAGAAAGACAAATACCACGTATCCCACTTATAAGATGTATCTAAAATTGTCAAATTCATAGAATCAGAGAGGAATGGTGGTTGCCAGGGTGGGGGAGGAGGGAACGGGAAGTTACTGCTCTGGGGGCATCAAGTTCACTGAAGCAAGAGGAATAAACTCTAGAGATCTGCTACAACATTGTGCCTAGGGTCAACAATAATGTATTGTGCACTCAAACTATTAAGAAGGTGGATCTCATGCTAATTGTTTCTACCACAATAAAATAAAATTTGAAGAAAAAAAACTCCAGCAGAGCCAGATTTGTCAATACTCATTAAGCAGATAACAGGACACAAGTATTCTTATCAATGGTGTCTAAAGCATGACTCGAGAGGGTGTGAACAGACAATAAAAAGAAAGACCTTTCACTTTTCAGAATTAGAATTCTCTGTCTTCAGTGAACACTGGATGTCTCTTTACCCCACATCCCTATGGCAAAGTGCTTTTCTCGTTTATAAAAAACTGTGGTTTACAATTTACCTGAAGCTTGTCATTGCTACTCTACCTAATAACCGACACTTATGATTTCTTTTAGAAGAGTTGCATAGATGGAGATGGAGTGTAAGCCCTGAAATAATAGGATTTTACAGGAAATAATATAAATCAAGCCTTTTGCCCTTAATGACCCATAATAAAACGCCCTTATTACCAGCTCTGCAGGCAAATCCAGTGCAGGTTGCCATGGTAACACCCAGCTGCGCCTCAGTGCTGTTGCTTAATGATCAGTGTGATGTCAGGCTCTTGAGATAACACAAGCTTAGACAAATCTTCATAGCCACAGTGACAGACCACTTGGGACTTCAGTTATGCATTGGGGAGGGTTTCTGTATCTAGGTATAATTAAAATACACTCAGACCTATGATTGGAAAGACTTTCAGCAGAGAATTAGGTCACATTTATAACCCTCCATTCACTTTCATTTCTCCACATGACTGCCCAAGCAGAAATGAGCCAGAAATGGGGTAGCCATGGTATTTTACCAAAGATGATGCTTCTTGTCTGTGACTGTGCTCACACTTCTTACATGAGTGGGACAAGTGGCCGGTCTGTGCTGGTTCACACCAGAAAAGGACACCATGAAGACCTTTTGTTCCCCTCTTCTCATGTTTCACGCATCTATCTACCTTCCAGTATGACTGAGTCCTAAATTATACTACTCATTACTTTCATTTAGACAACAAAGTTGAAACTTTTTACCCAGAATATAATTTTCAAATTTGTTTATTATCTGGGAGGAAAAGCTAAGCCCTGGGGAATCTGTCCTTCCTTCCTTTCTTCCTTCCTTCCTTCCTTCCTTCCTTCCTTCCTTCCTCTCTCAAAAGTGTTTACTAGGCACCTGTTATCTGCCAGGCAATTACCAGAAACAAGAATGAAGAAGGCTCTACCTCTGTCCTCTAAGAGCCCACAGGTCATCAGATGTGGACATAGCATGTAAGCAAACGTGTCAGATAGACACAGACGTGCACCCAGCACAGGTGGATAAATCCTACCTGAGGGGGACAAGAGGCTTGGAGAGGGGGTGGTGCTTGGATTAACTTCTGAAAGAAAATTAGTGGGAATTGGAGAAGGGAGGTAGTAGGGACACTGAGTAAAGGCTGAGGCTTGAAATAAATGTGAAGGTTTGGGAAACTGCAAGCAGTTTATAATGGTTGCAGCTTTGGTCATGAGAACAGTCTAGGGAGAAATAACACTGAGAGGTAGGTACACAGCCAGATTCTAATGAGTTTTGACTTTATTTTGCAGGCAAATAGGAGCTACCATATTTTTCAGACTATAAGATGCACTTAGGTTTTAGAGGAGAAAAGTAGGAAAAAAATGTGAAGCAAAAAATGTGGTAAAATATTTAATAACATAAATAACATAATATTTCACCAATATAAATCTAAACAGAACTCAACAGCAACATTAACAACCATTATTCCTCCCAAATGGGGGAGGGGTGCATCTTACAGTCCAAAAAATATGGTACTTAAGGTTTTAAGGAGGAAAGGCAGAGAATTATTAATTGCCATTTAGGAAGATTATTCTTCCAGCAAAGAAAAGCATGAACTGGGGAAGTCATGCAGACTGTACTAACTGGGCAATTAGAAAGTTACTAAAATAGCGTGACAATGGAAGACATCTAATCTCTTTCTTTCTTTCTTTCTTTCTTTCTTTCTTTCTTTCTTTCTTTCTTTCTTTCTTTCTGTCTTTCTTCCTTCCTTCCTTCCTTCCTTTCTTCCTTTCTTCCTTTCTTCTTTCTTTCTGTTTTGGTCTGCCTAGCAGCTGCATTTTGGAAGAGAATTGCCCTACTCTCAGCCCGTGACTCAATCACAGAGGAGTGGACATATGACCCAAGCCTAGCCCATTATAGTAACCTACCCCTCGTTCGCTGAGATCAGTCTGGGTGGGCACATAATCCAAGCAGTACCAATTAGACTTCTCCTATGAAATTTCACACATGGCTCCTAGGCATAGGGCTCTTTTTCTCTTCAAGATGAAAGGATGTAGCTTTGGTTTCCTGCTACAAGGACAGGGCCCTCTGACCATTAAGCCTATACTTAGAGGAAATTGTGCTAAAAAGTGAGGAAACAGAAATTTATGGGTATTGTTCAACTGTCTAGAATCTAAGATCTGGATCTAGCTGAGTCTGAAACCAGTATACCAAGGGAGTTGCCTGTTACAAACGCCAACACATTTCTTTTCGACTGAGCAAGCTTGAGTTAGTTTTCTTTTGTCATTTGCAATGGGGTGTTTCCTGACTAGGAGCCCAGGTAAAAATGATGAGAATCTGAGTTGGGGCTGTAGAGGCTAGAGAGGCTGATTTCAGAGAAGTTAATGAAGCTACTCAGGGATTAGTGAAATGGGCTAAGTAAGAAGTGCTAACAGAGGCACCTACAAAGTATCAAGGCAGCACAAAGTGAAACTCACCAGCATGGCCCTCCAACTGCTGTTCAGCCAGGGGTTGTGAAATTTCTGCCTTGGAAAGGGAATTGGTAAAGAGCATTTCTTCCTCTAATGTGGCCTCTATCACCTTTGAAGTGACCACATTCACAGGCAGTTTAATCTTATGTTGAGTCAATTCTGTCTTACTGGCCTTGATCCTATTCATCAGGGCTATAGGAATATATTTAGTCACTCTAAATATACAGAGAATCCCTTGTCATGTTTTAATAAGACATTTGTGTGTCCCTTTTGTCTTCCTCTTTCCAGGCTAAACGTCTTGTCTCTGGTTCCCCTCCCACGTTATTCCTGGGATGACCTTGGGTGGCTTTTAAAGTGACACTTAATGGTATGTAAAAGTTATGTTATCAACTATTTGTTTATCTCCTGTTTCCATTAAACAGTCATATGCATGTGAATAGAAACATCTCGTTTCTATTGGTTTGTTCATCATTTACCCCAGCACCTTTCCGTGGCTGAAAGGTAGTAAGCACTCAGTAAACATCTGCTGGTGAATAGTTTCTAGTTTTTAGCCCATCATCATTTTGATGGATGGGCTGATGGATTTGTAAAATGCACTAGTTTGTCTATAGTGCGGATAATATGCAAAGTCTAGTGCAGAATATAATGCTCTGATATCAGTAGAACCGCCACAGAAGAAGGTGGCAGCCAACTTGTTCTAGATCAGTGTATTTATACTGTGCACCCCAACATTGCACTGGCTTTTGGGGTAACTATATCACATTGTCACCCTATTTCAGTCATCTCAAACCATTGTCTTTTTTATGAAATAGTAGCTAAACTATACCTTCCTATACTATAATGGCATTGCTATATTATTATATTTTTTGATCCTTAGTTTAGAACTTCACATATATCTTTGCTAAATTTAGCCCACTAAATGTCTTCATGGTTTTTGTTCCTGATTCTTTTGTCCCATCTTTACTTCTCCCAGCTTTCTATCATCAGTATGATTAATGAGCTCAGCGCTAGGCTCCCCAGTGTCAGGCTTTCCACATCTTCCATGTTGCTGTCCCTAAATCCTGGCACACAGCCTGGCATTTAGAGCATACTCAGTGAAATGTTTATTGGACAAACCTCAAAAGACATAGCTTCTATATTTTTAAAAAACTTTCATTTAAAAATGTAAAAAACACAGAATACTTCAGCTTTCTTCCAGAAAAAAAATCCTTCATTTGGCATATATCTCTCTGTGTATATTAATTCCAATGTACTTGGATTCAACTGACTTTTCTCCTTTATTTTTGTCATAAGGAAAGTTTTGGGGTGCTCTGTTGTCCTCTAGATACACTCTACTTGCACTGTGGAAACCATTTCAATATGATATGAGTTTAGACTGACATAACTTGATATTAAGGAACTGTTCTGCATCCTGGAAATTGACAGCTCCTTTTCCATAGTTCAGGTCCTCTGGACACTCTGGTGGGGAGAAAAACTTCACAGGAGTCGTTTGTGAAACTATATTGAGCTTCCAGGTGCCACAGCAGATCAGAAATCATGGGGGATGTTGGAGAAGCAGCTACAAAACCCCCAGACTATATATTTTTAAAGCCTATTTTTGAATTAAATAAATTTTATTTTGTTTAGAAAAGCATCATATATCCCATGTCTATTCAAAAGATACCCATGATGGTTATAATCAGAGATGTTCAAGGTGGACCATCTGTTGCCTCTTTCAGCTTGAGGATAATTTCTGACAGACTGCTCAGCCCAGGTTTAGGTCACGAGGATGCTGAAGGGCAGAGGCAGGAGGTAGGGTTGGGGCTTATGGGGCTCTGCATCTCCTTCTAGGGCCCCATTTGACTTGAGCACATTGGTTCCATCAGCACTACTTTTTCTCTATGCCATGGTAATGATGAAGGGCCTTCCTAAGGTTTTAGTGTCCTTAACAACAAAGAGCTCATGGCAATAGACCAAGCCAATAGCCCCTTTGAAAATAAAACAGTACGGTCGTTGCATCTTAAGTGCCTCTGTCCAGAATCCATTGGCATAAAGAGCCACATTTCCTCTGGGATTTATGACTGCCTCTTCTCTGTGGATTTTGGCAAGAAGGAGGGAACTCAGATTTGACTATACATGGGCCCACTCATATAAGGCTGTAGTATCATTTTGTTCAAGCTGATTTGATGAGGCTGTCATGTTCCTCAAAACCACGGTAGTTAGTGTAATTACTATCACATCATTATTATCACATTCCTATTCTCCATAGTTTGTAAATTAAGAATGGATAAAAATGGAGACAGCACACTGGAATGTTATTTTTTTTCTCATATAGAGATCTTACTGAATAATGTTTCCAAAATTTTATTGTTTTGTAAGGCATAAGAAAATTTTTCCCTTCCCTTCCCTCCCCCCTTCCCCTTTAGAAATGCTCAGAAAACCATAAGCATCTTAGGGTCAGAATATCATTATAAAGCAAATTACTACTGATGATCTAACTGGTAGACTCCTAATCTTAAAGAGCCCCTGTCTTGTCCTGTGGGTTGAATTTATTGTTGGAAAATAGCTAAGCTGTAGGAGAGCTTTTAATTGTGTAATATTTCACACCCCTTCCAGGGACAAGGACTCAGTTTGGCTAATTCAAAGAGTATGGCATTTAATGGTACCAAATGCCTAAATAAGTACTATCTGAATAAAATAGAGAAGAATAATAATAGCCCCCCCCCCCCAAAGAGTTGCTGACTGATACGTTTATGGATTCAGTGGGGAAATTCTTGGTTTATTACTTAGTTTCTCCACCAGATGGCAGAAGAAGGGCTAGGTTAATGAATTAGAGATATTTTTTATTTTTATGTATTAAATATGAGATGGTATCAAGGCAGGAAATAAACACATAAATATATTGCTATGATTTTATTTTTATTATACTTCTACATGGAAATAGCT